AATTTGAACGCGTGGTGGCAGTACAGGCTAAGAGACTAAATCTAAGCTCTGCAGATCCGGTGGACGCCATTTCACGGAGAAACCCAAGAAAAAATACTGGACACATTTAAGCTAAAGCCAAAATAGACGTGTTCCGGAAGGCAGTCATCGCCAGAGAAGTTAAAAGAACGAATTTGAAACTCTTTAGCAAAGACATTTTGGAGGGTCGACGGTGGATGTGGTGATTGGGAGTGAAAAAAGACTTTTCCTCTGAAATCCGGAATAACAATAGAAATGGCACAGACAAAAGGACATCGCAAGGAAAGGCAAGTGGTAACCTTCATTATATTGATGCTTTTGTGGGAGGCGGGTTCAGAATCCATACAATATTCTGTATTGGAGGAGACAGAGAGTGGCACATTTGTGGCCAACTTGACCAAGGACCTGGGACTCAGGACGGGAGAGCTGGCTGCGCGGGGAGCACGGGTTGTTTTCAAGGGGAACAGACAGCATTTGCAACTTGACCCACAGACCTATGATTTGCTGCTAAATGAGAAACTGGACCGGGAGGAGCTGTGCGGCGCCACTGAGCCGTGTTTGCTACCCTTCCAGGTGTTACTGGAAAATCCCCTGCAGTTTTTCCAGGCTGCCTTGCAAGTGGGAGATATAAATGACCACGCCCCGGAGTTCCCGGCCAGAGATATGGTCCTAAAAATATCAGAAATCACTGCGCCTGGAAAGATATTTCCTTTGAAAATGGCACAGGATTTAGACGTGGGTAGCAACAGCCTTCAGAGCTACACAATCAGCTCCAATTCTCACTTCCGCGTTCTCACCCGCAATCGCAGCGACGGCAGGAAGTTCCCGGAGCTGGTGCTGGACAAAGCGCTGGACCGCGAGGAGCAGCCTGAGCTCAGGCTAACCCTCACCGCGCTGGATGGGGGGTCTCCGCCCCGGTCAGGGACCATAGAGATTCAGATCTGGGTCTTGGACAGCAATGACAACGCCCCAGAGTTCGCTCAGGAACTCTATGAGGCGCAAGTCCCTGAAAACAGCTCCCTGGGCTCTCTGGTTATCACCGTCTCAGCGAGAGATTTAGATGCAGGATCCTTGGGAGAGGTATCTTATGCCCTACTTCAAACCGACGACGTTGACCAGCCCTTCGAAATAAACGCAATCACAGGCGAAATTCGACTGAGAAAGACATTGGATTTTGAAGAATTTCAATCTCATCACGTGGATGTTGAGGCCACAGATGGCGGGGGACTATCAGGAAAATGTTCCATAGTCATCAAGGTTCTGGACGTGAATGACAATGCCCCTGAATTGGCCATGTCGTCGCTCAGCAGCGCCATCCCTGAAAACCTGCCAGAGACCATAGTGGCAGTTTTCAGTGTATCAGATGCAGATTCTGGACATAATCAACAGGTTATTTGTTCTATAGATGATAATCTCCCCTTTCTTCTAAGACCGTCGGCGGAGAATTTCTACACCTTGGTAACAGAAGGAGCGCTGGACAGAGAGAATCAGGCCGAGTACAACATCACCATCACCGTCACCGACATGGGGACCCCCAGGCTGAAAACCCAGCACAACATCACCCTGCTGGTCTCCGACGTCAACGACAACGCCCCCGCCTTCACCCAAACCTCCTACACCCTGTTCCTCCGCGAGAACAACAGCCCCGCCCTGCACATCGGCAGCGTCAGCGCCACAGACAGAGACGCGGGCGCCAACGCCCAGCTCACCTACTCGCTGCTGCCGCCCCGCGACCCGCAGCTGCCCCTGGCCTCGCTGGTGTCCATCAACGCGGACAACGGCCACCTGTTCGCCCTGAGGGCGCTGGACTTCGAGGCGCTGCAGGCGTTCGAGTTCCGCGTGGGCGCCACGGACCGCGGGTCCCCCGCGCTGAGCAGCCAGGCGCTGGTGCGCGTGCAGGTGCTGGACGCCAACGACAACGCGCCCTTCGTGCTGTACCCGCTGCAGAACGGCTCCGCGCCCTGCACCGAGCTGGTGCCCAGGGCGGCCGAGCCGGGCTACCTGGTGAGCAAGGTGGTGGCGGTGGACGCAGACTCGGGCCAGAACGCCTGGCTGTCGTTCCAGCTGCTCAAGGCCACGGAGCCCGGGCTGTTCGGCGTGTGGGCGCACAATGGCGAGGTGCGCACGGCGCGGCTGCTGAGCGAGCGCGACGCGGCCAAGCACAGGCTGGTGGTGCTGGTCAAGGACAATGGCGAGCCCGCGCTGTCTGCCAGCGTCACGCTGCACGTGCTGCTGGTGGATGGCTTCTCGCAGCCCTACCTGCCGCTGCCCGAAGCGGCGGCCGACCAGGCGCAGGCCGACCCGCTGACCGTGTACCTGGTCATCGCGTTGGCGTCGGTGTCGTCGCTGTTCCTGTTCTCGGTGCTGGCGTTCATCGCGGTGCGGCTGTGCAGGCGGAGCAGGGCCGCCTGGGTGGGTGGCTGTTCGGTGCCTGAGGGCCACTTTCCGGGCCACCTGGTGGACGTCAGCGGCACAGGAACCCTGTCCCAGAGCTACCAGTATGAGGTGTGTCTGATGGGAGGCACAGGGGCCAGCGAGTTCAAGTTCCTGAAGCCGATTCTCCCCAACTTCCCTCCTCAAGAAACTTGGGAAGGAAATGAAGGAAAACCCTACTTTTCGGAATAGCTTCCCATTCAGTTAAGTATTGTATGATTCTGCTAAACCCTACTTAATAAGTTTGAAAATCTCTTTTTAACTTAAAGTTACATGTTATTGATGGTCCCCCCCCTTTTTTTTTTATTACTTTACTACTGTTCCTTATGGTAAAATTAAAAGAAATTTAGATATTGCATATACACAGCATTTTTCCTACATTACGCTTAGTAGTTTTGAAATTATACTTTACTACATTTGACAATCTGAATAAAAAGTAAATTTTTACTTGCATAATTTAAAATTTTTGAAATTTAATCATCTATCTCTTTTTACAAAAATTATATTCCAACGTCCTTAAGTGTGATTCTATTTCTAACTATTGGTGACAGCGGTATCACTATTGCTATGTAGAGAAAATTTTTAAATGATTGTTATTATTTAATCTGCCAGTTTAAGTCTGATTTAGGGGTAACACCTATAGTGTGATGAAATAAAGATATACACTAAAGAGGGCTAAATAATAAGATAGCCAGTCATATTTATGTATATTTCAGTAACCATAATAGCCAATACATATTTTCTGTGAATATAGACTTTACAAAACTGTCATCACATTTAATTACAGTTTGTGAGCTTCATGTAAGAATAGGATGATCTTTTTAAAACACCGCCCAGACCAATTATAAATGCTTAACAAATATTTTCTGAATGTTAACATTCCTATAGTGAATTTAAAAAATAATTTTCAAGGGATACAGAAATGCTAATATTCTTTCTACACTATAGTACCCTTGCCAATAAGTGAAATTATTAAATATCACTCTTTTACTTTTCCTCTAGAAAACATCTTCCATTAACCCAAAACTCTATTACAGAACATAAAATGCTTGAGAGTACATTTTATTTCCTTGTCTTTATCCAACTATTTGAAACATATATATAGGTATTATATTGTTTAGTAAAATCCAAATCATATTTTTCAAACTGCTCCTCCTAGTTTCTTAAACTTCTATATATGTAATATCTGCTGAGAACTACATAAGTTATTAGTGCCCGTTTATTGGAGAATGTCAGTTTTTCCCTTCCTGTTCTGCATATGCATTATTTATATTTATTAACCATAAAACCATTTACTTTAATAGTTTAACTATATTTGGTCTTATTTGTGTTGGTTATGTTTTATGAAAAAATTCCTCTTTTCAATTTTCCATCAAAGTTAGGCAATTTACACTAAAGTGACAAGTGAGTGAAAATTTTATTTTTTAAAAATATTTTATTGATTTCAGAGAGGAAGGAAGAGGGAGTGAGAGACAGAAACCACAATGATGAGAGAGAATCATTGATCAGCTGTCTCCTGCATGCCCCACACTTGGGATCAAGCCCAAAAACAGAGCCTGAAACCCTGGGCATGTGCTCTGACAGGAATTGAACTATGACCCCCTGGTTCATAGGTCTACACTCAACCACTGAGCCACACCAGCTGGGCAGAATATTTTATTTTTATCTTAATTAAAATGGAAGTGGGCGTAACTAAATTATGTTTGTCTGTGTTTTGTATCCAAAGAAGTGAACTGCCATGGCTCTTATGTCATGGATGATCACCAATTGGTTCAATGAGTGTAGGGAACACTTACTGTTTTGTATTCCCATATGTTTACCTTCTCCTTGGAGTAGCATTCTTCCTTGGGGGAAACTGCTTATTCTGACATTCTCACTCCAACTCCCAAGGCTTTAGTTGATGCAGTGGTGTTTTTCAATAGCCCTATCTCTATTGTCCCAGGGGATGGACTCTCATCAAAGCTGACAGGTCAAACCCCTTCCCTGGAAAGTATATCTTAGACTCCATTGACTTTATGCCTTCTTCATGTTCTTCCAAAGACATTGCCTGAACTCATAGCTTATAGTGACTTCTAATAAAATAAATGGGCATTTTCTCTGAACGTTACAGGCTGTGCACACAAGGAGTTTATGAAGGAAAAAAAAATTCTCAAAGGCTATGTAGCTCAAAGACTGACAATACAACATCTCCCCTCCCCCCAGGAGATACAGGTACATTCCCATTTGTTTGGATTTAAAAATTCATAACTTCTAACACAATAGAACAAATGAGTATTTTGATAATAGATTGTAAGCTCCTCAAGAGCAAGAATTTTTGTGTTTCCCGTTTCATCTCCAGAAGCTAGGAAATTTTCTGCACAGTGAAATACTTATTGAATGACTCAATGAATTTGTCTTCAGCCGAGTTTTGAATAATGAAATTGTACCTTTATAAAGAAGATGAATATAGATAAATAGGTATTACTTTGCTCTCACAACTACTGCTAGCTACCTGAACAACACTGCATAATAGGTGAGGGGGAAAGGAGTACCCAAAAAGGCATTCAGCGCGTTTTTTTTGCTCTTACTTTGTGCTTTGAAATGAAAACTACCTGAAGTTGTAAAACAGAACGCTGGGTGGCGCTGCAGGACAAGAGAGTAAAAACCTCTCCACGATTCCAAGTCTACGTAAAGCCGTAAAGCCGCCTCCGACAGCTTGCAAAGGAAGCATTTTACACCACCGGGGCTAGAGGGTTTCAGAGAGGCCGCTATCCCCATCCCCACGTCAGTCAATGTTAGGAACTGACTCAAGATTATTGAACTAAGATAGCAGAGTTGGCTGCAAAGCAATCATTTTGTGATTTAATACTGGATCGTTTGGACAAGGAGGAAGGATGGAGACGCCGCTCCCCAAAGCGCCCCGGAAAAGGCAAGTGACCGCCATTATTATTCTATTACTATTGTGGGAGGCGGGCGGTGCGACCATTAACTATTCCGTTCTAGAAGAGAGGGAGAGCGGCTCTTTTGTGGCCAACCTCGCCAAAGATCTGGGTCTGGGCTTAGGGGAGCTGGCCGCGCGTGGCGCCCGGATTCTATCCAAAGGGAACAGACAGCATTTGCAGCTCGAGCAGAAGAGTGGGTATTTGCTCCTCAAAGAAAAATTGGACCGGGAAGAGTTGTGTGGTGACACGGACCCGTGTATACTGCATTTCCAGGTGTTACTGAAAAACCCGCTGCAGTTTATTCAAGGGGAACTCCAGCTCCGAGATGTAAATGACCATGCCCCAGAATTCTTGGAACAGGAAATCCTCCTGAAAATCCCGGAAAGCAGCCATCCTGGGACTGCAATTCCTTTGAAAACAGCTCAGGATTTAGACGTGGGCAGCAACACAGTTCAGAACTACACCATTAGCACCAACCCTCATTTCCACCTTTTCACTCGCAGTCACAGCGATGGCAGGAGATACCCCGAGCTGGTGCTGGACAAAACACTGGACCGTGAAGAGCAGTCAGAGCTCAGGTTAACCCTCACGGCGCTGGACGGTGGGTCGCCGCCCAGGACTGGGACTTCCCAGGTTGTCGTTGCGGTCCTGGACATAAATGACAACGCCCCTGAGTTTGCTCAGCTGCTCTATGAGGTGCAGGTCTCAGAGAACAGCCCTGTAGGCTCCCTTGTCATCACCGTCTCCGCTAGAGATTTAGATGCTGGGACCCATGGCGAGCTCTCCTACTCGTTTTTCCAATCATCAAATCATGCCATTCAGGTGTTTGAAATAAACGCAGTCACGGGAGAACTTCGGTTAAAAAGAATGCTGGATTTTGAGGAAATTCGGTCTTACCGTATGGAAATTGAGGCTTCAGACGGTGGAGGCCTTTCTGGGAAATGCACCGTAGCCATAGAAGTGATGGATATAAATGACAACGCCCCGGAACTGACCATGTCATTACTCATCCGTGACATCCCAGAAAACACCCCAGACGCTGTGGTAGCTGTTTTTGGAATTTCAGATCCAGACTCTGGAGACAATGGCAAAATGACTTGTGTCATCCAAGACCATCTCCCCTTCCTACTGAAACTTACTGTAGAAAATTTCTACACCTTGGTAACAGAAGGAGCGCTGGACAGAGAGAATCAGGCCGAGTACAACATCACCATCACCGTCACCGACATGGGGACCCCCAGGCTGAAAACCCAGCACAACATCACCCTGCTGGTCTCCGACGTCAACGACAACGCCCCCGCCTTCACCCAAACCTCCTACACCCTGTTCCTCCGCGAGAACAACAGCCCCGCCCTGCACATCGGCAGCGTCAGCGCCACAGACAGAGACGCGGGCGCCAACGCCCAGCTCACCTACTCGCTGCTGCCGCCCCACGACCCGCAGCTGCCCCTGGCCTCGCTGGTGTCCATCAACGCGGACAACGGCCACCTGTTCGCCCTGAGGGCGCTGGACTTCGAGGCGCTGCAGGCGTTCGAGTTCCGCGTGGGCGCCACGGACCGCGGGTCCCCCGCGCTGAGCAGCCAGGCGCTGGTGCGCGTGCAGGTGCTGGACGCCAACGACAACGCGCCCTTCGTGCTGTACCCGCTGCAGAACGGCTCTGCGCCCTGCACCGAGCTGGTGCCCAGGGCGGCCGAGCCGGGCTACCTGGTGAGCAAGGTGGTGGCGGTGGACGCAGACTCGGGCCAGAACGCCTGGCTGTCGTTCCAGCTGCTCAAGGCCACGGAGCCCGGGCTGTTCGGCGTGTGGGCGCACAATGGCGAGGTGCGCACGGCGCGGCTGCTGAGCGAGCGCGACGCGGCCAAGCACAGGCTGCTGGTGCTGGTCAAGGACAATGGCGAGCCCGCGCTGTCTGCCAGCGTCACGCTGCACGTGCTGCTGGTGGATGGCTTCTCGCAGCCCTACCTGCCGCTGCCCGAAGCGGCGGCCGACCAGGCGCAGGCCGACCCGCTGACCGTGTACCTGGTCATCGCGTTGGCGTCGGTGTCGTCGCTGTTCCTGTTCTCGGTGCTGGCGTTCATCGCGGTGCGGCTGTGCAGGCGGAGCAGGGCCGCCTGGGTGGGTGGCTGTTCGGTGCCTGAGGGCCACCTTCCGGGCCACCTGGTGGACGTCAGCGGTACAGGGACCTTGTCCCAGAGCTACCAGTATGAGGTGTGTCTCACAGGAGGCTCCGGATCAAATGAGTTCAAATTCTTGAAACCGATTATCCCCAACCTCCTACCCCAAGGCGCTAATGAAGAAATAGAGGGAAATGCCACATTCCAGAATAACTTCGGATTCAATTAGGAATCTCATCATGATGCAGTGTCTTTTGTAAGATCTTTAGTTGCTCCAGGTACAGAGTTTGAGAGCGTCATGGACAAAAATCCTAACTCTAAGTATAGCCTGGATTTCCCTTTTGGGTGTCAGTGGCATGGGGACCAGTATGAGGTGTGTCTGAACAGAAGCTTAGGAACCAGCGAGTTCATGTTCCTCAAACCAACTGTCGGCAAGTTTATGGGTGAAGGGGCTGGTAGGGACACCGAGGAAAACTCTAACTTTACAAATAATTTTGAGTTCAATCAGGAATCTCATCTTGAAAAGACCTGATAAATGATAATATACATTCGGGTATTTCCCAACCCTTGCATTCACAGAAGAGCGTACATATTCACACATTCATAATTATTGCCATTTTTATAGTTATTGCAACCTGTTGAAGTATTTCATATTCTGAATCTCTAGGTGTTTTTGTTGTTTTGTCAGGTTTTCTCCCTCACATTTTGCATGATCCTACAATAGCAGAGCACTGGTGTTTCTCGGGATTTTGGGGTAAGATTTTTGGAAGTTACAAATGTTTTCAGATTCCTGATATTTTAGCTTGTTCACTGATATATTGTTATGATTAAGAGACTTGTGTTTAATGATTATCATCAGCATGAGTCTAACTAATGTAAATGATGGCTTTTAGTTTTAAAAATAATTTTCATTTATGCAAAAATTACTGTGACCTTGTAAATTATTTGATTCCTGTAATGTTGTTTCAAAAACACTGCCGTAGATTTTCAAATGAACTAATATTTTAGCTGGATGTTTTCTAAGTTGAGTATTTTCTTTCAAAATTGAGAGCATGTAGTTAGACCACCTGCTATAATTTTAAATGATTCAATTCCTGTTAAATAGAAAAAAGTAGAAAAATATTGGTAGACTTATGATTACCTTTTTATAATAAATGGTTTTGAGTATGTAAATGATTCTCATTCTTTTAATATACACATGATTCAAATATATTCAATAAGAAAGAAGAAAGCAAATTAACATCATTATGCCAGCACTCAAAAGCAGTTATTAATATTAAGTCAATATCATTCTAAAAATATTTCTATGATTTAATATAAGTTAATAGATGGAAACAATATTGTAAACTGGACCTATAATGCATGGCTAGCTCTATAATGAAAACTATCAGATTTTATTTGCATATAATGAGACTGTAGAACTCATTATATGAAACTATAGAACTTGCTTGAGCTTGATTAAATAATCCCTATAAGGTTAAAAACAATATTAATATATTAACATAATTTAACTGCCTGCTTTAAAATGAGCAAGTCAAACCTCATACTTTTACCCTCTTCTCACCTTACTTTAGACTTTTTATTATACTAGTATATATGCATATAACATATAAAATATATATTAAAAGGGTAATTCTAATAATTGTTTAGACATTTTATGCTGTAGACATTTGTTATATGGTGCTACAAACTTGTCAATATTACTCAAGTCTGTACAGATGTAACACCTTTTGAAGCATTTTACTGTTTCCATGATATTTACTTCCATATTTCTAAATAATATGCTTATAAAATGCTTTCATTCAAATTTTAGATATTATCCATTTACTTTTCTTTAGGGGCATGTGCACACACACACATACTTGCACATTTTTTCTACCCATTCCTCTCTCATAGCAATATTATATAAAATTCTGTTTTAATAGTGTTTATATAATTATGACTATGGAAATATCGCTTACAATTGAACCTCATGATGTACTGATATTTTGTTTCTTTTCTTTGCCTCATTTTCGCTTTACTTTTCAATGTACAGATTTTTAACTTATCCCTATACTTTCTAAAGTCTAAAACTCCTCATTGTATTATTAAACTCACCAAGAAATCTCTCAGTTCCATTATTTTTTCTTGGAACCATCCTGGAGCTATCCAGACTCCTGCTCAATTGTATATTATTTGCTCTGTAGACCTGTTGTATAGCTGGCAGTTTGGAACTTGCTTTATCCATCATTCTGGGAATTTCTTTTGTCTCCTGAATTTAATTTCATTTTCTGAACTTTATGTCTTCCTCCTTTTTGGTTTACTGCCTTGAGTTCTGAAGACTATTTGGTAATACATTTATTAATTTTTTGAACATGTGAAAATTTCAGATGTTAGAAAATCAAATTTTTATTTTGTTTGGTATAGAATTTTAAGTTAGGAATTATTTGCTGCTAGTATTTTGAAGGCATTCCTTGACTTGTCTCTCTGCTGTTTACTTTTCTCCCATTTGTTTTGTTTTTATAGGTCAATTTATTTTAAATTTTTGCTCTCTATTGCTTAGATGAGGTTTCAGGAGGGAATTGAGATAAATTGGTGTGCCCAAACGGAATGAAATGCAGTCTTCACTGTTATTTTATCCCAGCTTTCCCAGACCTCAGTCATTTCTATTTTTTCATCCTTTGGTTTGCTGTATTTCATCAGATATAGTTCTTTAAAGAAGAGAGAGAGAGAGAGAGAGAGAGAGAGAGAGAGAGAGAGAGAGAGAGATGAGGGAGAAGACTGGTTGCCTTCCATACACTCCCGATCAGAGGATAGAACCCAGGGCAACCTGGGTATGTGCCCTGACCCAGAATCAAACCTTCCACCTTTTGGTGTATGGGGCATGCTCCAACGAACTGAGCCACACCAGCAGGGCTACCTGCTGCATGTCTTAAATTCTCACATACTTGAGAAGTACAATTTTTCTGGGCATAAAATTTTTCAGTCAACTTTCTTTTCCTCACAGATTTGTTGACATCAAATATTACATTAGTCATTTCATCATAGTTTCTCTATATTTTTCTATAAGTAGGCTACATTTCATTCTTAAGTAGTTATTTTCAATAAGCTCTCATGAATGCTAATGAAATGTTTTATGATTTTTTCCCCATTTGCTGCATTGTTTTCTTTATATTTGACCAACATCTTAGCTAGGTATAAAATTATTAAGCCATAATTTCTTTCCTTCAGAACCTGGTAGAGATTTCCATTGTATTCTAGTATTAAATGTTGATGAGGATTAAGTTTGAAGCCTATTTTCATTACCTATAGGTTACTTATTTTCTATTTTTAAACTTCATTGTCTTTCTCAGGTTATGTCTTGATTTTGATAATTTTGTATCACTTTTGTCCTGGAACTCAGTGTACCCTTTCAATCTATTTCACACAAGTATTTTCAAGTATGTCATTTGTTTATTTATATCTACTATGTATAACTGGTTTCTAAATCTGATACTTCCAATATGTGAAGTTTGTGTGGGTCAATTTTTGCTACATTGTTTCTTATTCTTCTTATTCATGTTGTCTTTATTTTTTGTGACTTATATGGTTGATTACCCTTAAATATTTATTTGTAGGGTGTCCTCAAAGCCTAGGCTGTATGGTCCAGATTTTCAGTAGTTTCAGCCAGGATTCTAGAAACACTATCAGTAGGGGACCACCGCAAACCAAATTTATGGTTTGAGGTTCCTTGAAACTCAATTTATGAGTATTCAAAATACAAACACACATGAGGACCAAACCTAGGCACAAATTCCCAGGCATGGTTTCTTTTCTTTTTCTTCTGCTCTACTTAACACCAGGGATCCTTCTATATAATTCCCTGGAGTTGGAGGAAGGGGTCAGGTTTAGATTTGTTGGTGTTATACTGCTTTTATATTATTGATGTAGGCCTGTGGGGCCCTTTAAAATGGGGAGGGTCTTCCCATAATATGCTGCACCTTTGGTTGGCCTTGATTTATATTTCTTTAACCCCAAATAGCTTCAGGTCAAAGCTTGTTGGCACATATTTTCAAAAGCTCTGTGGGCTTATAATAAGTTTTGTTATCCTGACACACTGTTTACCCCATATTACAGGCTTTCATAAAAAAATGGGCACCCTCACCAAGTGGTTCAGTTGGTTGGAAAATCATCCCATACACCAAAAAGGTTGTGGGTTTGATTCATGGCACATACCTAGGATGCTGGTGATCCCCATGAGGGTCAGGGCGCATATGGGAGTTTTGCACCTCTCTCTCTCTCTCTCTCTCTCTCTTTCTGATCAACAAACATATCCTTGGTTCAGGATGTTTTTAAAGTTTTAAAAGGAAATAGAATAGATACAGATACTGTACATGCTTGGGAAGCATCATTGATTCAAAGGGTCTTATCCCAGCAATTGAATGTATTACTTTATTGCTTTGAGGGCTAAGCTTTCAGTAAAAAAAGAACTCTTTTGGCTACAAAACACACCACCAATATGAAGAAATAAAATCGTATGCTCTGCTAATAACTAATTAATTTATTTGACCCTATCTGTTTCTACTGGCAATGGGTGCTACAGGTGTGATTTGAGTGGGTATGATATATACTACTAATTTTACTCAAATATATGTCTCCTCCCCTTATTTATTACTAATATACCTCCAATGTTTTAGCTGCCCATGTGGATATGTGTGTTATAGATTATATTTCCCAACCACTGTTGTGAGTGGGAGTGGTTTTGTAACTAAGTTACAGCCAGAGAGAGATACTAAGCCCTAGTGCCATGGAATACTTCATGAAAGTAGTCTTTAAAAAGGAAGGTGCAGCCTTTTCTTTCTCCTATTTGTTAGTCTGAATAGAAATTTAATGGCTGGATATTAGACAGTTATCTTGGACTATGAGGTGAAGGCCATGTCCTGAAGATGGTAAAGCAACAAGATGGAACAAGACTGGGTCCCAGATATGGAGCCCAAGTCAGCCACTAGTTTTCTTTTATGAGAGAAAAATAAAATTCTATATCGTGTAAGCTATTGTTGTTATGGGCTTGTCTATAGCTTCAGGCTGAAATTATATAGAACATATTCATATGTAGAAATTACATAGAATGTAATTCTAGCTGATATAGTAAGCTTTAATAAAGTGATATTTAAGCTAAGAACCAAAGAATGAATAGAGAAATTGTGAGACTTACATGCATATTTTAGAAATCAAGGTTTATTGAGAACAGGCAAAGCAAACAACTAAAGATTTAAGAATAAACTACCTGCTATTAATAACAGGTGAGAAAAGAAGTTATTGCATCTAAGAAATAAGTACAGAAAGAGGGCCCTTGTAAAGTATGAATGTAATAAATGGAAGTTTTAATAGAAGGGCTTGAAGACAGAATTAAGAAAATATCCCAGGTAATATTGCAAAAGTATTTTAAAATATCAAACAGGAGAGGAAAAAAACACAAAAAAATAAGAGTCCATAGCAGAGGTCCAACATCTGAATTGTAGTAATTCCAAAAAAAAAAGGAGCAGAAGAATTTCAATGAAGTAATTCAAGAAAAAGTCTAAGAGCTGTAGGAAATTAGTTTCCTAGTTGAAAGAGTTTACCAATTTTCCTGTACAATGGATGAAAATAAGCTCAAACCAAGACACATCAGTGTTAAATTTGGACAGTGACAACATACTACAACAAGAAATAAAAATACAGGACACATATAGAAGATATAAAATACCATTCACTTTCGACTTCTTAACAAAGACATTGATTTAAGGGGCTCATTGACAAAATATTTTTAAATTATGAAAATTATTTTCAACCTAAAACTCTATAATCAGTCAAACTTCCAATCAAGTTTGAGGGTAAAGTTAAAATAATTTAATACACTTAAGGTCACAACATAATTTAACTCTCATCTACCATTCTCTACTGGAAGATATTAAAATGAATGGGTAATCTAAGAGAGAGGAAGTCTGAAGAAATAGAAAGAGGATCAAAAACAGAATAGAGGTGAAATGAATCTCTATTCATTGATGATGTTGAAGGTGATGTTGAAGGATGATCCCAAGATGACAGTTGTGTATCAATATAGACTAGTCCAGGTTGGATGTGTCTGAGACAGGCATTTTGAAGGATATCATCAAGTCCCCTGGCACATATTAATTGGATGAAACTATTGGATGATGTGATCTATTAAAGCTACCAAATAAACAAACAAACTAAAGAAGAAGAAATAAAATCCTAGAAAAAGGAGATCCAACCAGAATAAAAGGCAAAGAAAAATTCCAAGAATGATAACAAAGGGAAATCCCAGAGTGATAGCTGTGCAGCAGATGTAGATACCACCCACCCAATTTAAGGGAAAATTCATATTTTGGGAGATATTGGAATGACCATGTGCAAAATTGTACTGAGAGGCAGTTAGAAGTGTGGGAAGAATACATTATATATATATAAAGAAAACCAAGTAAATGAAAAAGCAAAGCAATTGTTAACCTCAAGAAAAAAGTGAGAAAAAATATAATTAAGACACAGCAATGCTCTTATAATGAGACTGAGAGTGAAAGAAGACATTAAAGTTCCTTGAAAGTGTATAAGAGCTAAAACAGAACCCAACATAATAGAGTCAACTGATAATGTCTAAAATGAATTAATCAAAATATAGCAGAATACAGATTAGTAGGACAAGAAATAACTAAAAGTTAAAATTGACTGCCTATTGGAAACAGAACAGGAAAGTGAGAAGGAAAGAGACAGAAAACTATTGTATTTTATTATACGCCTCTTAGTACTATTAGATTTTTGAACCAAGGTTATGTATTATTTTGAAGAAGTGAGTTTTAAAAGGTAAGTAAATAGATGCCTTGAAACTCTCCCTATGAATAAAAATGAGATAAAATACTAAACATTACTAATAAGAATAGGGATATATCTAAAGATAAATAACATAATAAAGGCATAATAAATTAAAGTGGTTTTTAAATGAATGGTTTTAAAAATAAAATACAAATTACTTTTAAAGAAAACAAAGCCTGTATAGAGTAATAACCAAAGTAAAATGGAAAAGAGTCAGATCTACCATGAGTGAACCCACCAAACCCAACCCATTTAAGGGCAAGTTGTAATTAAGCATCTAGAAACAGATGGTATGAATATAAAAACTAATCTGTTGCAAAAAAATGGAGGGAAATCTTCCATACCCATTCTATAAGGCTGAATATTTTAACACCAAAACCACAGATGTTAAACACACACTCATGCGTATACAGGACAACATGGGCCAGAAAAATCCTAAAACACTGTTGACACATCAAATTCATGTTTGCACGAAAGCAATAATATGTCATGGATAACTGTCTTTATATCAAGAACTCAAGAATTAAAAAGCTAAAGAATAAAGGTACAATTTCAACACATGTCAAAAATTACTTTAAAATATGAAACCATCAAGAAAAAGAAGAAAACTTTCTTGATCGAACAAGGAGCATTTACCCCACGTAGAGATCAACCATCACACAAAAGCACTTTCACAAAAGTAAGAATGAACTACTTGCTATTGTTAATTTGAAGAGTATTCATTGAATATCCTTGGAGATGCTGGCCATTGAAATTATATGTGAACAATAGTTTAAATTATATTATTACTTAAACTGGGTGAAGGGTGAAGGTTGGAGTACAGAATGTGTTCCAGAAAATATCCTGGGTAAAGAGTAAAACCAAAAAGGATTATTGAATTCACAAAAAAACTGGAAAAAAAGGCCCGTTACTCTGCAGTATGAACAGCATCACTGTTAAGCAGTTAACAAATAAAGGTTGGCCTTTTGATGAATTCTTCATTTTCGTATATAATCTTTACTCTCAGTTTTAAAAGCAGGAGAAGGTTTTTTTAGGAGCTACTCCTGATGAGAATTCAGAGTTTAATTTCATGCCCCCAGATTAAGAAAAACATTTATTTTTTCCTATGAAATCAGATTATAAGAGGGGAGGACGATTAAGCACTTACTAGCATTACTGTGACCATTTGAGGAAAACGATGGAATGAAGCAGCAAAGACCCTGGGGAACATACTCCTGCTGGTCTTTTAATCCGCCATCTTTGTGCTCTATTCTTGAAAACGGGAATAACGTCCACAAAACGCAAGGTGGCGCTGCTGGCTAAAAAGAGACGGAGGAAAAATACTCGCTTAAAAGGGTGTTGCAGATTCCATTGTTAATAGAAAATCTGGCCAGTCAGAAAGGAAGAGGAAAGGACACCGTGGTAACAGGAGCTGGGGGAAGTGGGGGTCCCTCCCCACACCCATTGCTATTAGAAGCTCATTTAAAGGATTCCGTTGCTGCCATTCTGAAAGCTGCTCGGGGCTGAGGGACAGTGGTTTTGAAAGACTGATTAAAAGAAGAATGGAGGCCAGAGTGGAGCGTGCGGTGCAGAAAAGGCAAGTCCTACTTCTTTGTGTGTTTCTGGGAGTGTCTTGGGCTAGTGCTGAACCGCTTCGGTATTTTGCGGCGGAGGAAACCGAGAGAGGCACCTTTCTGGCCAACCTAGCACACGACCTGGGGTTGGGGGTGGGGGAACTTTCAGCTCGGGGATCTAGGATCGTTTCAGATCAGAACATGCAATTTTTACTACTCAATCCGCTTACTGGTGATTTACTTCTAAATGAGAAATTAGACCGAGAGGAACTGTGCGGCTCCACAGAGCCCTGCGCGCTGCCTTTCCAGTTGTTACTGGAAAAGCCTTTGCAGATTTTCCGTGCTGAACTATGGGTCAGAGACATCAACGATCATTCTCCAGTGTTTCTAGATAGAGAGATTCCCTTGAAAATATTAGAAAGCACCACCCCAGGGCGGCATTTCTCCTAGAAAGGGCGCAGGACTCAGATGTTGGAACCAACAACTTGAGAAACTATACCATCAGCGCCAATGCCTATTTCCATGTTAATGTGCATGATAACGGGGAGGGGACTATCTATCCGGAATTAGTACTGGACCGAGTGCTAGATCGCGAGGAGGTGCCTGAGCTCAGTTTAACCCTCACCGCCCTGGATGGCGGCTCTCCGCCCAGATCCGGGACCGCCCTCGTGCGCATCCAGGTGGTGGACATAAATGACAATGTCCCTGAGTTTGCACAGTCGCTCTACGAGGTGCAGGTGCCAGAGAACAGCCCTGTGGGCTCCCTGGTTGTCTCCGTGTCGGCTAGAGATTTAGACACCGGAAGTAATGGGGAAATAGTCTATGCATTTTTTTATGCCACTGAAAGAATTCTCAAAACGTTTCAAATCAATCCAACATCTGGCAATCTTCATCTTAAAGCCGGATTAAACTATGAGGAAATGCAAACTTACACACTAACTGTTCAGGCCAAGGATGGTGGAGGGCTTTCTGGAAAATGTACCGTGGTGGTCCACGTAACAGACATCAATGATAACGCACCGGAACTGCTCATGTCATCACTTACAAGCTCCATTGCAGAAAACTCAGCCGAGACTATTGTGGCTGTTTTTAGAATTAGAGACAAAGATTCAGGTAACAATGCAAAGATGGTGTGCTCCATCCAAGAGGATCTCCCCTTCGTCCTGAAGCCATCAGTAGAAAATTTCTACACCCTGGTAACAGAGAGACCGCTGGACAGGGAGAGCAGAGCAGAATACAATATCACCATCACTGTCACTGACTTGGGGACCCCAAGATTGAAAACCGAGCACAACATAACCCTGTTGGTGTCCGACGTCAACGACAACGCCCCCGCCTTCACCCAAACCTCCTACACCCTGTTCCTCCGCGAGAACAACAGCCCCGCCCTGCACATCGGCAGCGTCAGCGCCACAGACAGAGACGCGGGCGCCAACGCCCAGCTCACCTACTCGCTGCTGCCGCCCCACGACCCGCAGCTGCCCCTGGCCTCGCTGGTGTCCATCAACGCGGACAACGGCCACCTGTTCGCCCTGAGGGCGCTGGACTTCGAGGCGCTGCAGGCGTTCGAGTTCCGCGTGGGCGCCACGGACCGCGGGTCCCCCGCGCTGAGCAGCCAGGCGCTGGTGCGCGTGCAGGTGCTGGACGCCAACGACAACGCGCCCTTCGTGCTGTACCCGCTGCAGAACGGCTCTGCGCCCTGCACCGAGCTGGTGCCCAGGGCGGCCGAGCCGGGCTACCTGGTGAGCAAGGTGGTGGCGGTGGACGCAGACTCGGGCCAGAACGCCTGGCTGTCGTTCCAGCTGCTCAAGGCCACGGAGCCCGGGCTGTTCGGCGTGTGGGCGCACAATGGCGAGGTGCGCACGGCGCGGCTGCTGAGCGAGCGCGACGCGGCCAAGCACAGGCTGCTGGTGCTGGTCAAGGACAATGGCGAGCCCGCGCTGTCTGCCAGCGTCACGCTGCACGTGCTGCTGGTGGATGGCTTCTCGCAGCCCTACCTGCCGCTGCCCGAAGCGGCGGCCGACCAGGCGCAGGCCGACCCGCTGACCGTGTACCTGGTCATCGCGTTGGCGTCGGTGTCGTCGCTGTTCCTGTTCTCGGTGCTGGCGTTCATCGCGGTGCGGCTGTGCAGGCGGAGCAGGGCCGCCTGGGTGGGTGGCTGTTCGGTGCCTGAGGGCCACTTTCCGGGCCACCTGGTGGACGTCAGCGGCACAGGGACCCTGTCCCAGAGCTACCAGTATGAGGTGTGTCTGAGGGGTGGCTCAGGGACCTCTAGCGAGTTTAAGTTCCTGAAGCCGATTATTTCGAATCTGCAGTCCCAGGGCACAGGGAGGGAAGTGGAAGAATATCCTGCATTTCGGGATGATTTGGGTTTCTGATAAAAAATGGAAAATAAATGCGAGTGTTGTATCTGTGAATACATTCCTAAGAAATTTACCATGTGTTACCTGTGGAAGATTGCTTTCACATTATTTCAAGCATTTTTAAATCCACAGAATTAGTTTCGTTACACAGGAAAGGACCTAGCTTTAGCCCTAAGAACCCTCCACAAAGCATGGAATTCATGTGTCTATTTGATCTCTAACAGTTATGCCTTCTGTGTAGTATATTAAGTAACGATAAATGTTGTTTGGGATGTTGTAAATTAATTTTCATTTTCTTCAAACTTTATTGCTTTTTTATTTTCTGAGTTGATTTCAGTGCTGTAGATTTATACTTGCCTTAAGTTTTAGAAGCACAGATCATACAGTATCTTTTGAAGTTTTTAAGAAAGTACTTAGTATACATCACACTATTTTAACATTTTTAATCTTAGAAGTAAACCTATGAGGAGAGGTATTTTTGAAATGGGCAAGTAGATATTCATAGAGGTTCAATAAATTCAGTAAGAACACCAATTAATAAATGGCAGAATTGAGTATCTTTCCTAAGTCTTTCTGCCATTGGGACCTTGCTATGATGCTGTACTCTTTTCTGGCATTAGGTATCACATTGAAAGTTTCTCCATAATTAAGGAGAAGAAATACTTTTCTCTTATTCATATTCCTGTTTGGTCTTTTCTATAATTAGAAGTAATAGTGTATATATTGGCTTGTGGTTTTATTTTCTTAAAAACTAATAATCCAGCTTTACTGAATTAATTATTTAATTACTAGAGGCCTGGTTCATGAAATTCGTGTTCTGGGGGTGGGGGGGTGTCCCTCAGCCTAGCCTGCACCCTCTCCAATCTGGGACATCCCTCTCACAATCCGGGACTGCTGGCTCCCAACTGCTTGCCTGCCTGCCTGCCTGGTTGTCCCTAACCGCTTCTGCCTGCCAGCCTGATCAGCCCCTAACCACTCCCCTGCCAGCCTGATCGATGCCTAACTGCTCCCCTGCTGGCCTGATCACCCTCAACTGCCCTTCCCTGCCGGCTCAGTCACCCCCAACTGTGCTCCCCTGCTGGCCCAGTTGTCCCCAACTAACCTCCCCTACCAGCCCGGTCGCCCCTAACTACCCTCCCCTGTAGGCCTGGTTCCCCCCAACTGCCCTCCCCTGCTGGCCTGGTCGCCCACAACTGCCCTCCCCTGCCAGCCATCTTGTGGCTGTGCGCGCCACCATCTTTGAAGGCAGGGCAGTCAATTAGCATATAGCCATCTTGTGGCTGTGGGTGCCGCCATCTTTGAGGGCAGGACAGTCAATTAGCCTATTCCCTCTTTATTGGCTGTGGGTGCCGCCATCTTTGCGATGGTGTGAGGATCAATTAGCATATTCCCTATTTATTAGATAGGATTATTATTAAAGCATTGATCTAACCAAATCTCAAATAAAAAATGGAAAGATCACTTTTTGCTTTTTTCTTGTTATCCCAATATATGACTGTCATTTCACAGAAAAGATGAACTCTGAATAGAAATATTACATAATTTTGATTTCTTCAGTCATTTATTAATTTTCTCACATTGTAGTAATATTTCTGCAGTGGTCCTTACCTACCTTTTAAACACATTTTCCTCCTTTAATTTGAAAGTTTGTTTTTTTAACCCTCTTATTCAATATACTACAATGCTGAATCAGGAAAGTATAAGAAAAAGAATCGTTTTAAATATGTAATAATAAAAATAAACAAATTACAATTAAATTATTTAGAGATTCTTGGGAGTTAAGGAGAAGCTTTGTTTGCTATAATAATCTGTAACTGCTCTTTCTTAAACCTTATCCAGATATTTTTTCCATGGCTGTATTCTGAATATATTATAAATCAGTGCTGCTAACTCTTAAAATAGTACTCTTACTATGTATTACTAATGGGATATAGTCTAAGGACAAAAAATTCTCACAGCATTCAAATTCTAAATTGTTTTCATAGTGTCAGGATGAAATTATCCAGTTTTCTTACTTCTAACAAATCAATGACATGGAAAAGGGGAGGAGGGAATTTTCAACAATAAAATAAATGTAATGTGTGGTTAATCTTGTTTGGCTCTTGATTCAAAGAACTGTGTGAGAATTGTAGAGAATGTGAATACAGATGCATATTAAATAATATTAACCTAATTTCTTAGGCATGATATAGCATTGTAGTTTTTTTAGGTCATTAAACATTAGAGGTATATGATGAAGTATTTATGGGTGATAATTTAGTTTGGGATGTGAAAATGTTAGGGAGATAAACAATTATGACAAAATATTTATAATTGTTGAAGCTAGTTATGAGTATGTGGAGGTCCATCATACTATTCTCCTTCTTTGTGGTTTTGAAGTTTTTCAAAATAAAGGTTGTTTTTTTTTAATTGGCACTGTAAGAAGAAAAGTGGAGTTAACAAAAATAGGACATTCTTCTGAATACAGAATCACCACTGCTCTCACAGATCATACCTCTATTAGATAAACTCTCCAGCCTTTCATTGTGTCATCATTTAACGCAATAACTTCTATCTGAGCTCATTCTGTTCAAGCATTCTTCTACCACTTGAATATTGGATGTTTTTCTAGTCATGGCAATGGACTCATGTAAGTTCAGCTACCTGGTGGCATCAAATTACATGCCTAGTGTGTGTGTGTGTGGGGGGGGGTTAACCTGTCTCTGCCTCATTTTCTCATCTGTGTGGGGAGAACTCACAGCAACCCTAAATAATAGGTACTATTATATTATAATCTCCACCTTACAGATGAGAAAACTGAGGCAGAAGTTAAATAATTTGTCCAAGATTCATAGATAGCTACTAATTGTTCCCATAGTCCCTGGCAAAAAGTACATTCTGAAAGTTTTCTATGTTACTCCAATTATATATTTAAAGAATTTTCCTGCATATATTCTTTCTTCTCAGCCAGACTAATATATAACAATTTTATTTTTGCTCCAAACTCAACATTAGTAAAGGTAATAAGTCTCTACTAATGTCATTTCTCTTGTATGGTCCTCAGACTATTGTCTGCACTGTAAGGTCCACCAATAGTAGAGTTAGAGTTGTAACTTGTACAATACAAGCAAGAGTTAGAAATAGTGCATCCATTTTCATCCCAGAAAATGTAATATCCTGTGAGGACGCGTGGTGGCGCTGCAGGATAAGAAGGTACAAACCGGAACCGCAGCTGCGGCTCCATTAACAGACAAAACTTAACCAGCAGAGCCTGGAAGCCCACTGGGAAGCTAGGGCGCCACAGAAGAAGGACTGGGTCCTCTAAAAAGGACTGCTCACTGGAATATTTCCGAGGCATCCTGTGCAATATTCAGTCTCAGATACTGAGTTCTTCACAGCTCCGCGGAGCCAGCCTCGCCAGAGGCTGTACCAAGCAAGAACAATGGAGGCCAGCAGGAAGCTCATTTGCAGACAAAGGCAAGTCCTTTTCCTTGTTCTCTTCTTGGGCTTATCTCAGGCGGGCACGGAACCTAGGCGCTATTCTGTGGTGGAGGAAACCGAGGGGAGCTCTTTTGTAACCAATTTAGCAAAGGACCTGGGTCTGGGGCAGAGGGAACTCTCCAGGCGGGGGGCTAGGGTCATTTCCAAAGGGAACAAACTGCATCTGCAGCTGGATCAGGCGACCGGGGATTTGTTGCTAAATGAGAAACTGGACCGCGAGGAACTGTGTGATCACACAGAGCCCTGTGTGCTGCGTTTCCAGGTGTTGCTAGCGAATCCCTTAGAGTTTTTTCAAGCTGAGCTGCAAGTAATAGACATAAACGATCATGCTCCGGTGTTTGTGGAAAGAGATATGGTGCTAAAAATATCGGAGAGCAGTCCTCCTGGAACTGCATTTCCTCTGAAGAACGCTCAGGACGAAGATGTAGGCCGAAATAACATTGAGAACTATATCATCAATCCCAACTCCTATTTTCGGGTCCTCACCCGAGAACGAAGCGATGGAAGGAAATATCCCGAGCTGGTGTTGGACAAAGCGCTGGATCGAGAGGAGGAACCTGAGCTCAGGTTAACCCTCACAGCGCTGGATGGTGGCTCTCCACCGCAGTCTGGCACCGCTCAGGTCTACATTGAAGTCGTGGACATCAACGATAACGCCCCTGAATTTGAGCAGCCTTTCTATAGGGTACAGATCCCTGAGGACAGTCCTATCGGTTTCCTGATTGTCAAGGTCTCTGCTACGGATGTAGACATAGGAGTCAATGGAGAGATTTCCTATTCACTTTTCCAGGCTCCAGAAGAGATTAGGAAAACCTTTGAGCTCAACCCCCTGACAGGAGATATTCGACTGAAAAGACAACTTGATTTCGAAGCTATTCAGTCGTATGAGGTCATTGTTGAGGCTAAAGATGCCGGAAGCTTGTCTGGAAAATGCACCGTTCTGACTCAGGTCCTGGATGTGAACGACAATGCTCCAGAAGTCACCATGTCCGCACTTACCAGGCAGGTCCCTGAGAATTCACCGGAGACCGTGGTTGCCCTGTTCAGTGTTTCTGATCTTGATTCGGAAGAAAACGGGAAAATAAGTTGCTCCATTCAGGACAATCTACCCTTTCTCCTAAAATCTTCTTTGGAAAACTTTTACACCCTAGTAACAGAGGGACCGCTGGACAGAGAGACCACGGACGAATACAACATCACCATCACTGTCACCGACATGGGGACCCCCAAGCTGAAAACCGAGCACAACATCACCGTGTTGGTGTCTGACGTCAACGACAACGCCCCCGCCTTCACCCAAACCTCCTACACCCTGTTCCTCCGCGAGAACAACAGCCCCGCCCTGCACATCGGCAGCGTCAGCGCCACAGACAGAGACGCGGGCGCCAACGCCCAGCTCACCTACTCGCTGCTGCCGCCCCACGACCCGCAGCTGCCCCTGGCCTCGCTGGTGTCCATCAACGCGGACAACGGCCACCTGTTCGCCCTGAGGGCGCTGGACTTCGAGGCGCTGCAGGCGTTCGAGTTCCGCGTGGGCGCCACGGACCGCGGGTCCCCCGCGCTGAGCAGCCAGGCGCTGGTGCGCGTGCAGGTGCTGGACGCCAACGACAACGCGCCCTTCGTGCTGTACCCGCTGCAGAACGGCTCTGCGCCCTGCACCGAGCTGGTGCCCAGGGCGGCCGAGCCGGGCTACCTGGTGAGCAAGGTGGTGGCGGTGGACGCAGACTCGGGCCAGAACGCCTGGCTGTCGTTCCAGCTGCTCAAGGCCACGGAGCCCGGGCTGTTCGGCGTGTGGGCGCACAATGGCGAGGTGCGCACGGCGCGGCTGCTGAGCGAGCGCGACGCGGCCAAGCACAGGCTGCTGGTGCTGGTCAAGGACAATGGCGAGCCCGCGCTGTCTGCCAGCGTCACGCTGCACGTGCTGCTGGTGGATGGCTTCTCGCAGCCCTACCTGCCGCTGCCGGAAGCGGCGGCCGACCAGGCGCAGGCCGACCCGCTGACCGTGTACCTGGTCATCGCGTTGGCGTCGGTGTCGTCGCTGTTCCTGTTCTCGGTGCTGGCGTTCATCGCGGTGCGGCTGTGCAGGCGGAGCAGGGCCGCCTGGGTGGGTGGCTGTTCGGTGCCTGAGGGCCACTTTCCGGGCCACCTGGTGGACGTCAGCGGTACTGGGACCCTGTCCCAGAGCTACCAGTATGAGGTGTGTCTGATGGGAGGCTCAGGGACTAGCGAGTTCAAGTTTCTGAAGCCTATTGTGCCCAATTCCCAGGGCCATTACCCTGGGGCAGAGTTAGAAGAAAACCCTGACTTCAAGAATGACTTTAGTTTTAGTATTCAGTGACCATAATTGTTTATCTTTTTCCAGCTACTTCAATTGGTATATTCAAGGTGATGACTTATTTTTGGCACCTATTATGAATTTTTAAATTATACTAAGCTTCCTTGCACATTTTCTTACATTATTCCTTTCTTTTAAATAATGGTATCTTATCATTTCTTCATTACTATAAAAGATGAGTGGTCCTAAAACTTGCCTCTCAAAAACTGATGAAGTTAATAATTGTACAAATCCTTGTTCTGGGATAGCTTTAGAATATGTTAGGAAAAAACAGTGAAACGTTAATTCTATATATATAATTGACTGTGTTTTCTTGAGATTTTTTTGTTTTTTATTAGTTTTTAACTATTGGTTATGTAAGAGAAGTAATGCACTAACACTCACGGGAAGTATGCCTAACCAGGAAGGAAAGAGAACTGGCACCATGAGAATTTGGCTCATTTTATTCTGCTCTACTAGTACTATCTTTGATATTGTTTTCTCTTGAAATGTTATATTTACTATGCTTCCTTTCATTAATCTACCTCTGTTAGTTTTAATTTCATTATTTTAATTACTTTTCATTTTGTTTCATTGATGTTCAAAGGAGGGGGAAAGCTACACAGTGTTTATCCAGTGAGATGAAATAGCAAAGCAGCAAATTTGGCTTTTCCCATTTGAGAAACATTGAGTACCCATGACAACAAATACACTGGCCAGCCAATATCCATTTATTTTTTCTAGTTTCTAACAGATCCTAAATTCCACTTAGGGCATTAGTTTGCTTATTCAAAAGAACACATTTTGCCAACCTCCTTGACAGGTACAATGGAGCATTTGACTAGGTTTTAGTCAATGAGATGTATATACAAATGTTGTAGAAGACTTCTAAGAAAGCTGTTTAAGGGAAGATGAGTCATTTGGGAAGGGGTCCCTTTTGTCCTTCTCTAGTCCTTGCATCTTAGAATGCGTAAGTCATGGTTGGAACACAGTCAGCCATGTTGGATCATAAAGCAACAATAAGAATGGAAATAATGAATGAAGACAGTCAGTATAGAATAAACTTTAAGGAGATGAGGGTCCCCGATGATGACAGAGCCATTATGTCATCCTTGGAATGCCTGCTTCTGAACTTTTTTTTTTTACTTGAGAAATAAAGGAACTTCTATCTCATTTAAGCTACCATCATCATTTTAGTTTTGTGGTACCTCCAGTGAAATCCAACCCTAATGCTTTAACATTAAGATTTTTCATTAAAACATTATATAATAAGCAAAATGCACAGATCTTAACTGTATAGTCTGAGCTAACCAATCTGTTTTAAGTTCTTAATTTTGAATTCTAATTTAATTAAAAGTAGTGTATAGAGTGCTTTACACGAATTACCTTTTTAATCTTCTACCAAACCTTAAGGAAGTTGGCATATTGTCCCCTCCTTTACATATGAGAAGCTGAAGCTAAGAAAAGTTAAGTAACTTGTTCACAAGTCTGAGTAATAAAAGAAAAATTTTTTAATCTATTCTAAGTCTACTTGAATTGAATGCCCCAGTTTTTAACCCATGTGTTATATATAATGGCAGGTGTTTACTTGTAGCATTGTCTTCCTAAGAAAGTGAAATCCATCTATTCCATGAACTGAACTCCTATGTAGAAATGTAACTTTTGGTTCATAGTTTGTGTGTGTTTCAATGCCACACTGCTCTGAACCAATAAACTCAAAGTTCTTGTGGAAACACTGACCTCTCTAAGCTAGGTCAGACAGCACAATTGATCTTCACCATAAATGAATCAGCCCCAAATATCTTCCTGTACATTCTCAACATGTCACATTTATTATTGCAGAGATGAATGCCCTAAATAGAGACTAGAAGTGTCCTATGGTTGTATTTCTTGTACTATCCCTTCAGTCTTTTTCCATCATCCCTAAAATATATTTTTCATTTCCTTTGGAAAGTTCAAATTTGCCATATATATATATATATATATATATATATATATATATATATATATATATTTTAGGACCCAGTGCACGAATTCGTGCACATTGAAAGGAACTGTGGGCCATGGGCACAGGGGCGGGTCTCAGCCCATACTCCATGCCCCCGCCCAGCCCCTCCCACCACGGCTCTGGTCCCCTGTCTGTTGGCAGCCCTGCTTCTGCTGCTGCTGCTGGCACCCACTGAGTGATTGGGGCAGGCATCATCAGCAGGTGCAAGCAGCGGTTGCTGCCCCAATCACCCCTTAGGAGCAGATGGAGGTGGAGAAGCCCTCAGGGGCGATCGGGGCCAGCAGCCTCTGCTCGCACCCACTAATGGCACCAAGCGATCAGGACTGGCACCAGGCACCAGCAGAGGGTGCGAGCTGCTCTGGCATCGGCTGTGGGTGCGAGCAGGGGCAGTGCTGGCAGCAGGTGTGAGCGCTGGGCAGTAGCATGGTGCATGGGAGCAAAGAATTTTCAGTAACCACCAGAAGCTCACCCTGATGACAGCGACTGCTGCACTGTCTTGGTCTGGTGCCCCTGCTCACATGCTCCACCATCCTGACATGGCTGATCCCACCATGTTCTGCACTATGCTGCCATGTTCTGCACACACCCCCTGGTGGTCAGTGCACATCATAGCGACTGGTTTGGTTGTTCAGTTGTTCTACCGTTCAGTCTATTTGTATATTAGGGTTTTATATATATAGATTTGTAAGTCCCTTATTTAAACTAAATATAGTGTATTCATTTTAGCATACCATTTGTTTTAAAGCAGCTGTATTCTGGTATTAATCCTAACTAAAATAATTTAAGAAAGTATAGGCAATGTTGTGGAGGAATTTTTATCACTAAGTAATTTAGAGATTCTGGAAGTTTAATAGGGAAAATGTGTTAGGTTCCAGTTATTTTCTGTTAAAGTTAACCATAGATCTTTGTCAACTTCTCTTACAAGTTTGCTGGGGGGGGGGGGAAGATGTCAAGGGTCATAGACACCTTTATTCTGAAAGACCGGTTTACCAGAACTGAATCAGACATTCTTTAGCATTTTCTGTGATAATATTATTCTTGTAGACTGATAAATTTTTGTTGACTCAGCTACTACGTGCATGAAAATCTATGCTTGTATTATGTATTAGGTTTCCATTGTTGCTATAAAAATTACCACAAATATAGTTGCTTAAAACAATAAAAATGTACTACCTTATAGTTCTATAGATCAGATCTCAAATACGGGTCTTACTGGGCTAAAATCAAGGTGTTAGCAGAAATACATTCCTTTCTTATGGCTCTCGAGCAGCGGTTCTCAACCTGTGGGTCGTGGCCCCTTTGGGGGTCGAACGACCCTTTCACAGGGGTCGTCTAGGACTATCGGAAAACACATATATAATTACATATTGTTTTTGTGATTAATCACTATGCTTTAATTATGTTCCATTTGTAACTGAAATTGGGGGTCACCACAACATGAGGAACTGTATTAAAGGGTCGTGGCATTAGGAAGGTTGAGAACCACTGGAGGATATCTATAGGATAATCTAGAGGATAATCCATTTCTTTGTCTTTTCTAGCTTCTAGGCTGCCTACATTACTTGACTCATGACCCCATTATTTCTTCTTCAAAGCCAGGAGCTTTGTATCTCCTTAATTATTCTTTTGTAATAACACCTCCCTCTTTTGTAGTCACACCTCCCTTTGACCATAACCAGGAAAGGTTCTGTCCCACCCAGATAATCCAGGATGGTTTTCCCTTTACAAGGTCCTCAACTTATTTGCACCTGTGAAATCTCTTTTGTTATGAAATATAACAGATTTACAAATTTTGGGAATTAGGCTGTGGACCTCTTTGGGTGGGTGGCCATTATTCTGCCCACGACAGATGGCTGCTTGGAAGACAATTACCCAGTCTAGTAGTACCATTTGTGTTCAAATTAAGGTTTTTATACCAAGAGCTTAGGCCTTATTGATTAGATGCTTTAACCCCAGACAAGATAATTAACAAACAAAAATCACTAACAAAAACACTGAATGGATAAAGATATCACAAATCTTTGCTGAAATTCAATTCAAATATTAGAAATGGAAAAATGGGACAATAATACAAATCTGATAAGGGACTTGTATCTAGACATATAAAGAACTCTTAAAACTCAATTATAAAGACAAATAACCCAGTTTAAAAATGGGTGAAGATCTGAATAGACATTCATCCAAGGAAGATATACAAATGGCCAATAAGCACATGAAAAGATGTTTAACATCATTACTCATCAGAGCAATGCAAATCAAAATCCTGAGATACAACTTCACATCCACTAGGATGGCTGGAATCAAAATGTCAGATAACAACAAGTGTTGGGAAGATGTGGAAAAATTGGAATGCTGGTGCTCTACTGGTGGGAATGTCAAATGGTGCAGCTGCTTTGGAAAACAATCTGGCAGATCTTCAATTAAACATAGATATGTTATATGACCTAGCAAGTCTATTCCTAGAGAAATGAAAATATACGTCCCCATATGAGTGTTTATAGCAGCATTAGTCGTCGTGATACAAACCACATGCAGAAATAAATTGTATAATATTTAAAAAGTAGAAACAACTCAAATGTCCATCAACAGAGGAATGGATAGTAAAAAATGTGATGTATCTATACAGAGGTATATTATCATGCTGCAAAAATGGACAAAGTACTGACACATGCTACAACTTGGATGAACCTTGAAAACATGCTAAGTGGAAGAAGCCAGTCAAAAAAGTCCACATATTGTTTTATTCCATTCATATGAAAGTCCAGAATAGGAAAGTCAGAAAGTAAATTAGTGGTTGATTAGGACTTGGGGCAGAAGGATGAAGGAATAGGGAGGTGATAGCTGAAATTTATGGTGTTTTTGAGGTAATGAAATGTTATAAAATTGACTCTGGTAAAGAATCCATTACTCTCTGAATATACTAAAAGGCACTGAATAGGTAAATAGGTAAATTTTATGGAATGTGAATTATATCTCATTAAAGCTGTTTTATATTCATATTATCAGAAGTTTGAAAGCTTTACATATTTAAAACTAGTCCCGCTTACATTTCATAACAAACAGAAAAACTAAATCAGAGAGTTGGTGGTGCTTTTAATTTCAGTTTTAAAATTCTCTCAAAGAAATACATTTTAACATTTCTGTTCCAAGACATTTTTTCTAAATGCTCTAGAAAAGTCTTTTTAGTCATTAATAATGCTACACATATGTGTATGTATGCATATACAAATACATGCACAAACACAGCCTACATCTTTTGGACACTTCAGTGAAAAATTTTAATGTCCATCATATAAATCTTAGGCTTTAACAAGAAAATATAAAAAAGACTTGAGGGAAAAATAATTGTTTTCTAGAAAAAAGACATTACAACAAAGAAAAAGAGGTAGAAGAAAGTTTGTGTAATCCAACAGAATAAAAATAAAAGCATAATGACAATAAAAAAGAATATAACAAATTATTTGTGTCGTGATTATTAAAAAAAGAGTGAAACTTGGTAAGGTATAACCTTGAGACCTTCCTATTTGGGATATAATTGTCCGATAATTTGAAAATTGCAGAACCTCGCAGTTTTCAGGCTTAGATGTTGGGAAAAAAAGAAGTGATCAACTCTTTAGTCAAGTATTGGGTTAAACACTTTCTTTAGAACCATTTCTGGTTCAATTTTTCAGTGTACACTCATTTGTAATTCTATAATATGTACCATGAAAATATGTACTTTGAAACTGTTCCAATGTTATTTTGGAAAAATATTTGCTCCTAAATGTATCATTTTCAGCTTAAATGTTAATTAAGTTATTTTATTTAATCATTATTCCTCAACAGCTTTGTACCTCCTGTGCAATAACACAGAATTCTATCTGAACACACAAAAAACACATAAAAAGTTCTATGTTAACACACAAAAACCACGAAGATAAAACTCAGTGTTTAATGTTACAGAACACAATTTGTTTTATACATTAGGAGAATTTTGTATCCAATGTTAAACCAGAAAGTGTAAGACTTAGTGAGAACGCGTGGTGGCGCTGCAGGTTAAATGATGGAAAATGGAATTGACTGTGCAGCTCGGATATCCAGTCAAACAGTTTCTCACTGCCGGGAGGGAAGCTAAAGAATAGCCTTCTCAGCCAGGGCAAAAGTGAGTGTGAAACCTCTTAAAAACTCTATTTCCGGCATCGTTTTGCCGTTCTGGACCGTGGGAACGGGCTGCCAGGATCTTGGGCGTGCATACCTGAAGCTCCTGTGCGCGAAATTGTCAGAAAAGCAATGGAGATTGGATGGATGCGCAATCGGAGACAAAGGCAAGTCCTTGTTTTCTTTGTTTTGCTGAGCATGTCTGGGGTGTGCGCCGATTTAGGGCCCTATTCAGTGATGGAAGAAACAGAGAGAGGATTCTTTGTGGGAAATCTAGGAAAAGATCTGGGATTGGGGTTGACGGAGATGTCCAGCCGTGGGGCCCGGATCATTTCTCAGGGGCACAAAGAGCATTTGCAGCTCAAGGTTCAGACTGGGGATTTGCTCATAAATGAGAAGCTAGACCGAGAGGAGCTATGCGGTTCCACCGAGCCTTGTGTCCTACATTTCCAAGTGCTTATGGAAAATCCCTTAGAGATATTTCAGGCTGAACTAAGGGTGGAAGACATAAATGACCACTCTCCCGTGTTCACTGAAAGAGAAATGATTCTAAAAATACCGGAAAACAGTCCTCTAGGCATGGCATTCCCTCTGAGCAATGCTCTGGACTTGGACGTAGGAAGCAACAGTGTTCAGAACTATAAAATCAGTCCCAACCCCCATTTTCAAGTTTTAACCCACAATCGCAGCGCTGGCAGAAAATACCCGGAGCTGGTGTTGGACAAAGAGC